GTCATGGATAGCCTTCTCTATAGCCTCCCTCCTCTTCTCCATCTCCTAAGACTGAGTCTATGCTCTGGTAGTCCTCTCATGAGCTAACCACAACTCCACCTTAGCTCTAGTAGCCCTTTAATAAGCTACCCGCAACTTTACCTCAGTTCTAGTAGCATTCTCGTGAGTTATTCACAACTTTGTAGCAAGCAATCTTAGTCTCACCATCTAGCTTAGCGGCTCTCTCGTGAGTAGGCAAAATCTTGGGCTACTCTGCATCTACTCTCGCGCAAGCAACCTCAGTCTCAATCTTCAGTTTAGTGGCTCTCTTACGAGTCGTCAAAAGCTCGGCTTCAAGAGGTACAGTTCTCTCGCGAGCCACCCTTTACTCCTCCTCTACAACCCGATGTGTCTGTCAATCCTTCATCAGAGTACTCGATATCTGCACATGTTGGTGGGCCCTCACAAAAGTTGAATGGAAACAAGAAAAGTAAGATTTTGTACCCTTTGCCACAATACAAGAAACGCTAGTAAAACTCTCCAAAAATTAGGGGCCAGTCACTCTAACACGAGCGACAAGTGTGCCAAAACACAACATACAGGGATAGGAATCAAAAATCTCAAACCTGCCTCTAGCACCTCTTTGTAGATAGCAATTTCTCCAGAAGAGTCATCAGACGCCAGCTCATCCATCTCAGCTAGGGAATACAACAAGTATAGACGATCCTAGCAATCTCAGCATCATTAGTCCTAGAAATAGTGCTCACCTTGACCATCGTCATCAACGGCTACCACGTTGCTTGTATCGCAGTGGATGTTGGGTAACATTGTTTCTGCCACTATGACCTCCGGAGTCCGTTGCCTTGCTGTCTGCACCCTCGCAACTCCTCGCCACCTGCACTAGTGCCAGTGTCCATGCCTCTTGCTACTAGCACCTTACCTTCTGGCGTTCACACATCCGCGCCTCCAACCGCTAGCTCCTCGCCTCCTTGCTACTAACGTCTGCGCCTTGTCGAAACTTGACCTCTCAAGCTTCTCAGGCAAACATTAAAATAATAACCATGACTGTTTATAAAATGAAAGAGTTTGCGACAAGAGGATGCATGGAGAATGAGAATAATTGAAAATCAACATAGTCAATACCTTGAAGGAAGGGTAAAAAAGTAGAAAGAAAATTTTATTATTATTGATGCCCTCTCCTCCAAAACACATTGGACTTTGGGCATGGGGGGTAAATGATAGGTCCAGCTTGGACCAAACTCAGATCACAGATGCAGACTAGGTTCAAATCACAGATGAAAGTTAGGCCTAGGTCATAGATACAAACCAACAAAAGCTCCTGACAATTTCAATTGGGTCAAGCACACCACCTTGGAAGACCAGTTTATTACTAACACACGTGGGGATTTCCATCTTAGAAAGGGAATCGTGAAACGTAGTCATCAGGGTGCGCATCGCCAACTTCACAAAATCACCTTGCCCGTTACAAGGATGACACCGGCCTTACGAAACCACCCTACTCCCCATTATGACAACTCAATCAAGGCTCCCTTCAGAGCCTTTGTGAAATGTTACTCATGTATAATGTCACGTTCCATCCCGGTCTCCTAAGGATGAGACACGACTAGGTCTTTGATATACCTGTTTACATATATGGAATCTAAATTAATAAAACACTAATTAATCCTATAGGTGTAACAATACCACCCATCACCATAGTTAATAAGTATGATGGTAAACCTGTCTCATAACTTGTATCATAAATAATACATGTACCAATTGTTTATTTCTGAGGTTATAAACAGATACAAAATCTTACACCCACATAGCATACATCACAAAGTATGCATGTTGAGTCTGTTTACAAATATATACTGTTAACTTGCTATAATAATCTTTTATTTAACATAATATGCAACCCAACTAATAATTATACAGTCCCTCAACCAGTATGATTTACTCATTTAAAACTAATATCATACTAACGTTGTATAAAACTCAACTGATTTGACAGTGGACTGATTTGTGTCTCCCTCTCTTATACTTGAAAATGAGAAGTTATAGGAGCATGAGCTAAACCACGCGCTCAATGAGTATACATGTCATATATGAAATAATAATGATAATAATACACAGAAGTAGGTAAATACATGTATCAAACAACAACATCAATCCAATTTTAAAGCATTCACAAGCCACAATAGATTCATATTACCCCTCGTTGGGTAATCGATCTCACATGGATCTGTGTCTCCCGAACCTCCCGAAAACACCACAGTGCTAGCACACCACTGCACGCCCAGTGATCAGGCACCGATGCTCCTGTCTCAAACAGTGCGTCACATTCCACAATACACAATACACAATACACAATACAAAGCATCATCCAATCACATAAGCAGATAACACCTAATCCTGGAAAAATACTATTAAATTATATCATTTAACATCATCTTATAATAGCATTTTCAAAATATATAAAGATATACACCCACCTCAAATGTACCGATCTACGGTCTTTCGGTTCTATCGGTGGATCCTTCCGGTGTTATCGTATTAGTTCCAACACCGACTATTTCACCTGTTGCACTTAACACATTTGTAATTATAATATCAATATGTTTATTACACTTAATAGTTAATCATGCACTAATGCATGCAAAATAATGCACCCAAAGTGTCTCGGTAACCTCGATTACGCACTGTTCACTCACACACTGACACATTAGATTTAGGGGCATATTTCTTCTCCAAATCTTTAAAATCACTCACATTAATCACAATTAGGATTAAGTAGGTTAAACACATTGATCGGGGGGTCTATTTTTACACATTTCGACCCCGAATCCTAAAAACTACACTTCCAGCATTTCATACATTTCACACCGGATATTATTTTCATTTGCATTCGAATTTTACATTATCACATCAATCATCAATTAAAAATGCAGCATGCAAAATTTCAGGTCATTTGGATTAAAATTCACACATGTAATAATAATATTTAGAAATTAGGATTTTGACATTACCGACACCCATTTTCAATTTCTATCATACTTTTGTTTTAAAACCACTACACTTAAATTCACATACACATTTAATCAATGCAAAACAGCCCCTAATTGAGCTTTTAAACCACCCATTTCATTCCAAATTTTTTGTTTTTAACCTAGTCCACTAAATACTTTCTGAATATCTCAAATGATCATTTATACACTTTTCGTACACTCGATTAAGTACCCATTTAATAACCCTTCTTAATAGCCGTTAAATTTTGTATAACACCCTTAATAAAATCTATTTTGAACTTAAAATAAAACAGTTCATTATTTTAACACAAAACAACCCACTAATTATGTTTAATACACTTAATTTAAATTTACCAAAATATGCTTTGAAATTACACTAAAACAGCTCATTAAAATTAACCAAAACAGTCCATGAAAATAAATTAAAACAGCTACTAATTTAAAATAAAACAACCTCTACATATATATATGCATACCAAAATTAATCATACATACTTTCCTTTTCTTTGTTTTTACCCTCCTCTCTCGGTTTTTTTTTTTTTTTGCTCACGGTCCTAGAGCCCCACCACAAATATTTTTCCTCCTTCCCCTCTTGTTCACTCCCACTCACGGTTCCAATAAAGAACCAGGCGCCCACACACACACTAAATTCTATATGTAATACACACACACCCCTGTATTCTTTACATTACACACACACACACTTTTCTACGCTTAGTCAAACACACAGACACACGTCACACACCCACACACAACCCCACCCACACATATCAGATGGCATTAATTAATTACACTTAACTCTCACTAAGTTCTTGATGACTTCACAATTGACCTAATACACAATTTCATTAAATAATGTCACATAATTACAATTAGTCCACATAATTATGCTAATATATGTGAAATGCATGATTAGGTCTCACATATAAATTATAAGCTCCACTTATACAAAGGGGCATCATACAAATCTAAGAACTCTACATACCTTAATAATAAGATTCTCTGGCCATCATAACTATTTTTCGTGGACTAGGTCACTTAGACCAAATTATCTAATTTGTGTCTTTTACTGTGTTGATCATAACCCATCACATACACCATCAGATCTGTGATTGATTTTGCATATATATATTTGTGCATCATCAAGTTGCATTCCCATATTATCCTGTTATTCTCACTCCAATTTCTCCTTGTCATAATGAAAATAATAATCAAGTCCAAAAGTTTTTTTTCCCTAAGTAATGTAACAAAACAATACTTCGTATTTTTGTAATAGGAGGTTAGTGAAGTAAAGGGATAGGAAGGAAAAAAGTGTGGACAAAGTCCAGAATTTTCAGGCGATAATTCGAGGGAGATATAATACTTCAACAATTAGGTAGAGAATAACTAAATTAGAAGTTTGAGTCTTGGAGTTCATATTGAGGCTCGGTAGTTGATCGATATGCTAACTTAGATAAGTTCATTCTCGAGAAGTGTAACGGGCACAATCAAAGGTTTTATGATCCCACCAATGAGGGTTTATTGAGATGATCTCTGGATGTTTTCGTTTACCCCACCCCTTAATTAAAAAAAAAGAAAAAAAGACTGGTAGTTCCAAACATAAAAAAGTAAGGCAATTATTTTTCAATCAATAAAAATATGTCATATGTAAAGTTATATCTTAATTTATTATTTTGCTTTACTTTATTAATTTCATAATTAAATAACTACGAATGCATTAATTATACATTTCTAACCACAAATAATTTTTTGATATATTAATATCACTATTTGGTTTTAAAAATAACATTATCCCAAAAAGTATAGCATCAGTTTCTTTCTAAACAAACAAGAAAAATATCTGTTTTTTTCCCTTTCCCATATTTTCCACCATAAGCTTGCTAACCAAACGTTCTCCAAGACGACTTGTCAAATATCTAGTCCAACTGTCCAACCATTACTTTTCTCCTATTTATCTTCTTCTTTCATTGCTTCAATACTTCATTCTTGCCCAGAAAAAAACGAAAAACCAGTCATGGACTACGTAAAATTCGAGTTGAATCTTCAATCAGCTAGCAATCTTCAAAACATACGACGACTATTTGGGAGGATGAAAGTTTACGCAACGGTTACAGTTAAGGCCCACTGCACTAAAACTCCGGTCGACATGACCGGCGGTACTAATCCTGTATGGGAATTTCAGGCCAAGTTCCTCATACCCAAATCGTCCCTCCGTCCGCAAGATGACACCATGCTTACCATCAGGTTATATTATAAGCGGTCTCGCGGCGGCGATGGGTATATCGGTGAGGTTAGGGTTCCGCTGAAGGAACTTTTTCAACGTTCAAATCAAGGTCGTGATGAAGTATTTGAGACGCGCGTTGTTGCAGATCCAATGCAACAACTTAATTTTTCATATAAGTTTACAAGGTTGACCAACACAGAGACTACGGGTTCTGACTGGATGATGAGATTCGCGAAGCTTGGCTGGATAATTGTGCAAATTGTACTTGCGACTGCGATTTAGGTCGGTACTCGTAGTTCTTGTTGTGAACTTAAGGTTTGGGATTTTAACTTTCTTAAATTCAAATAGGATCTGAAGTGTAATAATAAAATCTGAATCCGATGAAGAAGATTGACTTGTCTTCTTGGTTCTCGACTTTGGTTTGCTTTTGTGCGGTTGGCGTTTCTTGTACTTTTTTTGTCTTACCTCCCAGAAAATGGTTGATCTTATCTGGGTTTGTACAACATATTACTTAGGTTGTTTGAGAATGATAGAATTTTGGGATAGATTAATTAAAGGCAACAAATGAGAAAAAGCATAGAAATATCCACACATACAAGGTTCGATCTATAAATCCATAGTTACAAGTGTAAGTAAAAGCTTCCTCGCTTGCTCACGTATCAATTATAATTGAGTTTTTTATGATACAAGATCACATTCACTCAGATAGCAATACCAAAGACTTACGACGACTATTTGGCAAGATGAAAGTCTACGCAAGGGTTAAAGTTAAAGACGACGCCAATACAGTGGCTGAAAATCCGGTCGACATGAACGGCAAAACAAATCCTGTCTGGAACTTTCGAGCCAAATACATCTTAAGCAAATCGGCCGTCCAGCGAGATGGCACCATGCTTACTGTCAAGTTATACTATCGGCGGTCTTTCGGCCGCGATGGGTACATCGGCGAGGTCCGTGTTTTTATTGTGAAAACTATTGGGATGAAAAATACACAATGAAATTAAGATCCGTCAAAATTAGAAAGAACTGTTTAGTTAAATTATTGGTCGAAACCTGGAGGAGATAATAAATATGTCTAAGAAGTCTCGAATTGGATTGCTTTTGTATGCCTGGCGTTCTGATTTTTTTCATTTTTTTGGTTCTGACCCTTGTAATTGTAAGTTTACATTCATATTCAAAACATTTTACTTACATCTCACAAAATGGTTGATTTTGTAGAGGTTTGTAACCTAGAGATCATGTTAGTTTGCTTGCTTGAGTGTGTGAAATTTTGCATATGAAGATATTAATGGTGTATGTGGATAAATTAATTTAAGATTGAGAAATGAGACAAGAATACTACTATCGACACACACATACGAGATTTCATTGGTCTACTCAATTCAACTAAATAAAATATTGTCTCAACATTTTATAAACCGTAAATCTACATTCACAATTATCCCATGAAATCTTCATGTGTAATTTCGGTAGTCACAGTCGATTTGGACATTTCCTAAAAGGCCTATGTAGATTGAGTATTTGAGGGACTCCATTGCCTTCTATCTAACTCCGAAGGGTAGTTCAAATTCTTGGTTTTTACTGTACATATAAAATGTTAGACTTGGGTTCTTTTTGATTATGGGGTCGTGCATTTTTCTTTGAATTGTTTAGCCTTCAATAGGGCATGTTCCCACATGACAATTTTCTCGACTAAGAGGATATGGATTAGAAACTATTTCTTGTGTTCATTTTCTTCTTATGAATATGTATTACCACATGGTTTTTTATTAAATATATTTACACAGTCGATATATTTCTATGCATTGAAAGTTTGAATCGCTAAAATGTTTATACAATCCAGATTGTTGGTTTGAATTCTATAATAATAGTTCCCAAACATAAATTTATGCCTCCATCCTTATATGAGTATGACTACTATTATGCAATATATGGAGTCATGAGTAAAGAAGTTGTTATTCTATCTATGGTTTGGGTGAGGGTGGTGTATATCTTGTATCTTCAATACTCTCCCCCAAGTCTACACGCAACTTGATCAACTTGAAAATAGAATTATCGCTAATTTTTCATGAGTGTGATAACATTATTTTTAAAAGAATATCATAATTAATCCTTAAACTTTGTCTTTGATTTTAAAATAATTTTTAAATGTATCAATTTAGTCAATGAATTATAAATTTTTTATGTCAATAAAATCATTCCACCTATTTCATTCGTTAGAACCAACAGAGACAAGTCCAAGTATTTGTCATCTGTCATCCACGTCATTGGTTCTAATGAGAGAAATGAAGAAAAGGATTTTATTGACACAATATTAATAACTTAAAGATTTAATTAAGATAATTAAAAATTTAGAATAATTGATGGTAAGATGAACAGCAGCATCTGGATTGCCTATTTTTCTTCATCAAAGGATTTTAGTATAATTTAGAAAATAGGAAGGGGTGCAATGAAAATGTTAGCAACATCAAGGGGTTTCATTGTAATTAGTCCAAAGGAATAAGACCTTGATAGGACCGATACAAGGTTGGTGATAGTCCACAGACAAGCCCTAAACTAGTAGCTTCGAAGCTTCCCTTTCCTTTATCCACCATACCCCCCAAAAAAAATAAAGAAAAAGTCATATTTCATAAAAATGTCATGCAAGACGTTATGACCGTGGCAAAATAGCATCACCTTGTTCGTCGTGTTCATTTGGTTGTCCATTGGTGCACGTGAAGAAGAATAAATTTTAAAAGTGGCAACTAGGATAGTAGTAAAGATAAATTTTAGTAAAACTTTAAATTTGTACTTGTCAAAAAGCACTTTAGTTTTGGTAAAATAAAACTTTAATTCCTTAGTCAACGAGCACTTTACTAGGATATTCGGTTGTTGATGGAAGGGGTAGGTAGCTTAGATATTCATAGTTGATAAGGACTTAACTTGGAAATTTCATAGGGTTGACGAACACTTAGCTCGAATATTTCTTGGTCAAAAAGCCGTTTAGTTCAAATAAGTAACATACGGTTGAATTTTCTTTTTAATTTTAAAATCAAACATCAGACAAAGGATGGACGGAAAATGTCCAAAAATATCGTAAAATATATTTTTTTAATATCTAAAATTGGTATAATGTATGATCAATAGTCATAGTTAAAGATAGTAATATGAGAAAGGTACAATCAAGAGGTAATGCAAAATTGATAACTATTGTTTGAGGTGCTACATGAAAAACAAGAATTTACTTTAATCTCACTATGCTTCTAATCTCACTTTGCACTTTTTTACTATCAAATTTCTCACATTTTTCCCTTAATTAGTTGAATTGATTTCACATTGTCCTAACATCAAACATCCAACACATTTTGGATAAAAATGTCCAAATGTATAGTAAAATGTACTTTTTTAATGTCTACAATTAAAGCTATAGTCATAATTGAAAATGTAATGCGAGAAACATGATATTCAGGTGGTAATGTAAAACCAATAACAATTACTGAAAGTGCAAAGTGAAAAACGTGATAGTTTATGAGGCAATGTGAAATAGGATATGCACGGGAGAATTTCAGCAACAGTTTGAGATAGCGACCTTCAGTCTGGCGAACTTACAACAATCACAGGGGTCAAAAAAATGAGTCGGGTGAACACCAGACTTATCCCCTCTGAAGCTTAAGTCAGTATAAGGTTAGAGACTTGAACACAATGTATCATGTATCGTAGTTCAATGTTGCGTACCTTTATTCATTTTTTTTGGGAGTATTTATACATGGAATAGCAATGAGTGCATAGACTTCAAGTCTCATCTGAACATTCAATGCCTAACACTTTTACCCACGAGATCTTCACATATTTAATATTAGAATGATAGGACAAGTGTTCGGGGACACTCCGAACACTTATGACTATTCCCGAGCATTCAAGTGTCTATGATCGATGCCAGACACCTACTACTGAGTGTTCAATGCTCGGGGGAACAGTATCTCTGGGTACACCGAGGAAATATGCTTGGCGTAGTAGCAATTAATGCCTAGCCATCATGACCACAGGCCTAGGCTCTGAGGATGCAGGGGCTTATTAATTGCACTGTCTCCATCACTCACATCGCCATAAATGAGTGGTCAAGTCACATTAAATGCGGGTATCAACTTGTGTACTCGGCTCCTCCAAGTCATCATCTCTCGGCTTCACTCCTCAGCATCCTCTAGACTCCATAACTACTAGAATTTTACACGTGTCGATCTAGGGGCTGCTGAGCCGCCCAGAGTCCCGCCAACTGCCCCTAACCTCCATTCTTTTTCGGTGTGGGATAGGTGACGCAAGGAGACTGGAGGCTTACCGAACACGCCTCATTAATAGGGACGGTTTCTTGCACATCCGACGTTGCCTTTTAAATCCCTTAATGATGACCTGCCTTCTCGATCCCCGCCCCTTCCAATAGGGTATAAATAGGAGATACTTGAGCTATTTCAAACTTTTGCACTCTGAATTCTCTTTCAGCGATCAACTCCCAAGCATTCTTCTTCCATCTCCCGAGCACTCTTTTGTTATCCTCCGAGTTCCCTTCTTGAAGGTATATCACCTGTAAGTACTTCTCTTCTTTTGGGTCTACTTCTCATTTCTTCTACATTTCTTCTATACTTCTTTTTAGAACCTTCCAATGGCTAGGACCCATAGGACAGTTGAGGGAGCACCTCCTAGGGCTAGGGCTAACCGTAAACTCAAGAGAACTAAGGTCACTGATGAAAATATTGATGCCTTTAGGCCTAGGTACTGAATTCCCGAGCCTGTCTTCACCTTCCCCTTCAATTCTCTTTACCATAGAAGGGACCTAGGAAGTGTAGACATGATGTCTTTCTAAACAAAGACTATCATGGAATGGGGGTCGACATTTCCCCTTCACCCCCTGTTACTAAGGATGTTAATGCAACTGAAGCTTGTCCCTCTCCAATGCGGCGTAAACTTCTTTAGGATAGTCATGGGTGTAGTTGCCCTTAACGCTCAGTTAGGGGTGAACCTAAGGGTAGACGAAATTCTATTTTGCTACGACTTAAGGCTAGTCACAAGGGGCAGGTACTACCTCCAGGCCTGAGACAATTCAATGTACTTGGTGACCCACATGCCCGACTTGGACAAGGGGTATGTGGACGATCTAATCATGCTCGGTGAGAGTTGGGAGAAAGGAAACAGACCCAAGTATGATAGATTGTACTGCCCCAAAGTGTAGAGGGATGAAGGTGTGTTGCACATACCCTAAGATTTGTTCGGCATCTTTTCGTCATCATTAATAACCTTGACTGTTTAGTTTTGCAGAGGGTTGTCGATGTGACTCTACTCGGCCTTTGAAGTCCGAAATCAGATTTGAGGACTTGCTAAAGGTTTGGTCTTCCAGCCAAGCTAACCCCACCTCTCGGGCAATGCACGTTTTACTCAGTTACTAGCCGACTTACAGCCACTTTTCCTAGATCCCCTTGTCGTTCGACCCTTCACTCTGGGAGGATCAATCCTCGTCAAGAGAAGAAGAGGAGAATCTTGAGGAAGATGCCGACCGAGACTCCGAGCATAC